CACACACACACACACACACACACACACACACACACACACACACACACACACACACACACACACACTCACCTCAGTGAAGGACTTCTCAGCCACTTGATAATTGACCAGGTGACTTCTCACTGAAGATAAAAACAACAACTTAAAAGAAATAAAAATGTTTTTTCTTCTAAAAGCAGCAGAAAAGTCTTGTTGACATGTTGGATCACACAACCATCCTCCCTGCGCGCGAACTGAGCAGCGCTGAGCGCAACTGACGGACCCAGCTCTGTCAAGTGGACGGCAATGACGTAACGCCGGAAGTCAAGCGGGCCGGCCTTCAAAATAAAACCCCAAACGGAAAGAAAGGCGTTTCCGTTTTCAGTTCGTCCAACATCTGTAAACATTAAAGGGATATTTCAAAATATTTGATTAGGTAGCAAAACAAAATACTACAAGATATAGGTACTTGGTACTTACGAGTACTTAGTCATGGTACACCTGGTACTTAAAGTGTATGTACAGCAGAGCATACTGGTCCCAAGAGGTATTTACTGCGGTACCTGTACAATTCTGGTATTTACTGGGCACATATTGGGTATATTCCTGGTATTTGCAGGGTATGTACCTGGTGTGTACAGTGGTATTTACAGGGTGTACACCTAGCACAAACCTGGTATCTACAAGTCACGTAACAAGTACTTACAGGATACACACATTGCTATATGTTGAAGAGGCTCGGTACAGTAAGTACTTTCAAAAGTAACCCTGAAAGAACATGGTGTGTACCCTGTAAGTACTAGATAAGTTTCCCATTAGGTAACAGATATGTTCCCTGAAAGTACCTTTGTTTGTACCAATATGTACCCTGGAGGCACTCCTGTAGATACTGTGTAGGTATGTTCCGTAAGTACCCCTACAGGTACCAGGTAGAGTTGTACATAGTTAGTAAATACCTTACCTGCTGCAGGTGGCTGTTTGCAGACAGGAAGATGAATTGACCTGATGGATGAGCTAAAGGCTAGTCTGAACACGTTGAACAGCTCCAGTACAAAAACTTTTATAGTGACTCGTGCAAAAAAACACGAGAGAACTTTTGCATCCCAAATTTCTCTTACACAGGGCTGTTTTTATCAAGAAAAAAACGGCAGCAGCAGAAGCTGGCTGTAGCACTTCCTGCAGTAAGCTGAACTTATTTCTGTTGGAAAATCTGTGTGAGGAATAATTACATGGTTACAGTGTAAAAAGTTGCTTATGTTGATTAATAAAAACTTTATTTCTCCAATTTGAGGAGGTTCACAGCACTATCCACAACAGGTAAGATATTTACTGTTTACAGTGTTTCTTTAGCTTTGATCTCAAACTGAAGCAGAGAAACAGCAGCCTGATTAAATATTCACATCTGGGAGCGGCCCACTGTAACACTTGCTACAAACAAAAAGGTCAGCCGTCTCGTTTTCCAACGTCTGTTTACTAAAATCAATCGTATCAAGTAAAAATAGAAAACTGCTCTTCGTCTGCTGGATCGAGTGCTTCTCAGCTGAAGGACGAACTTTTTAAAGTAAAAACAAGATCTGGAGCTCACAGATTAGTTTCAGCGTTCAGCTCGTGTCATCATCTGAAAGATTTATTTCCACAAATACACAAAGTTTTTATACTTTTTTCTGTTTGTGTTGTTTGTGGCAGGAAGCTGCAGCGCCGCCGCCGGCCACAAGGGGGAGACATTTCAAAATAAAACACTTTCCTCACAGCTGTTAGTTTGTTTCTTCAGGGATTACAAACAGGTTTGTGCAAACAGAAGGAAATACTCTGACTTAAAGAAGAATTATTATTTTTCCATGAAAACAAACATTAATGCATAAACTGTTAGAACTGGTTGTAAGAGGAAAAATCTTAATCTTGTTTTTTAAAATATGCTTTTGTCACATTTTCATTTCCTTTTAATAAAATACCAAACATGAACATAAAAATATAAAATGTTTTTTTTTCCCGTCACAAAGAGCAGAAATAAATACGTTGTCCTGCAGAGACCACAGCCTTTAATGAGCTTCAGAGGAGGAAACGTTTCTGTAGGTTTATGATAAATGATGTTTTCACTCATGTGGCCTCTGCTTCAGTGCAAACACACTTCTTACAGTCAGAATCACAATAAATAAGAAATAATTTACTTCTCGTCCTGAAAGTGCAGCAAAAACCTGAACATGTTTCACAGCAGTTTGAGTCGGAGGAACGACATTGATTCAGTGACGCGTTGTTTGTTTTGTTTTTGTTTTCTTCCATCACTTCCTGAAAAAAAAAACACATTTAACAGTTTTTTTAAAAAACCACCGGTTCTCCTGATGCTCACAGATGTTAGAAACATCTGATCCAGAGCAGAAGTAAAACCTCCTGCAGGTCTGGTTCTGGTCCTGCAGGTCTGGTTCTGGTCCTGCAGGTCTGGTTCTGYTCCTGCAGGTCTGGTTCTGYTCCTGCAGGTCTGGTTCTGYTCCTGCAGGTCTGGTTCTGGTCCTGCAGGTCTGGTTCTGGTCCTGCAGGTCTGGTTCTGATCCTGCAGGTCTGGTTCTGGTCCTGCAGGTCTGGTTCTGGTCCTGCAGGTCTGGTTCTGGTCCTGCAGACTCAGACGGTGGAGGAGAAGCTGAGTCTCCTCTCCCTCAGACTGAAGCTCTGAGCTTGTCTCACTGAGACTCTGTTCCTCCACAGCCTGTGGGCACACAGAGGGGGCGGGGTTAAAACCTGAACCACACACCTGAGGTCAGGTGACTTGCAGGGGGTCCAGGTTCACCTGATGAGCTGCAGAGCGGGGCAGGACCTGAGCGCTCTGACCAGAACCTCCACTCCGTCAGAACTCACGCTGTTACACTCCAGACTGTAAGAACAGACACACCTGCTGCTCAGCAACATTATAAGAGTTTATATTTTTCATTTAGTTTTATTTTGTTGTGACTTTTTTCTTTTAACTCAGTTTTAGTTTTTACAGTGGATTTGTTAGTTTTTATTAGTTATTATTGCATTTTTAATGCTTAGTTTTAGTTTAGTTCTAGTATTAGGTTTTTTTAATAGTTTGAATAAACATTTTTATCAAAGCTATAATTTCAGTTAGTTTTAGTTAATTTTGTAAAAATATTAAACAGTTTTAGTTAGTTATTGTTTCTTCATTTTAATACAGTTTTTATTTATTTTAGTTAACTAAAATGTTTGTTCAGTTTCAGTTTTTGTTATTTAGTTAGTTCTAGTTAACTATAGAGACCCTGCTGGTCACACAGTGTTCCCAGGTGGAACAAACACCTGTGTGTCATGTGACCACACGTAGAACCTGTAAACTCACTCGATGCGAGCCAGCTGGGAGCAGGAGGGCAGGACGGTGGCGAGCTGCAGAGCGACGTCATCGCTGCAGTTATTCCAGCCCAGACTGAAAGTACACACATCACATACTTTATACTCACTCTGGATTCACACACAGGTGGATAAAGTACTTTAAAGTAAAAATACACGAACAGAAAATAACTACTGGAGTCATAAAACTGATCAAAATAATCAGGAAGGTAAAACTAAAAGAATAATTTTTATGTTTTGAACAAAATAAAACTAAAAGTTCTGATTTAAAAAACACTTTCATATAATCAGACCATCCTCCCCAGTCAGCCATGTTTACTTGTACACAGAGCAGGGAAACAGCTGAGCTAACGACAAGTACAGACAGGTGGGAACGAACCATCTAGAGCAGAGATTATTAACCTGTGGCCCACAGCGCCACCTTGAGGGCCTCAAAAGAACAACAGTTTTTAACTTTGGGCCACAGAGGGCCGTGGGACCACACTGATTTTAAATGAGGTGTAATACACTTTGTCACCACTAGTAGCAGTAGTGCACCACTCAGATGTTTAACAACTTTTTAATATGTAGAAGAAGAACCTTAGAAACCTGCTGAGAATGGAAACTTATTTTAAATTAAAAGTAGAAACAAAAATGAAAGTAACTCATCAAAAAACACCAAAGTTTGTCACTAATATGAAGAGCAGCTTCTGGTTTTACCATGAAATATTTTAAAAGTTCAAAACATTATCAAATACAGTTGAAGATACAACTATATTTTAATTTGCACTTTAAATTAATTTTTGTAGTTTAATTTAAACATTTTGAATGTATTTTAAAGAAACTTTAAACTTGTTGAAAAGCTGTTGTTACTGTTATTGTTTGTCACTAATATGAAGAGCAGCTTCTGGTTCTACCAAAAGTTTAAAAAGGCTTTATTTTCATTTGTACTTTATCAAAAAATTTTTACAGTTTTTTATTTGGAACATTTACATTAAATATGTTTAATTTATTTATTTCATGCCCCACAATTTTATTTATTGAATTGTCTATTTTTCTTATTTTTGGGGAAAATGTAGTCGGTGACTTTACTATTTTAAACTACTTCTGTGATATTACTACTACTTCTACTTCCTGTTATCTTCTTCATCATCGTCTTTTTCACCAGTAGAAACAGACGGTTGTTGATGTGAAAAAAATGTTTCCATTGCAGTTTTGTGAAAAACACCAATTTCGATACGGCCGAAATACCACCTCATCCTAGCGCAAAAACATTTTGTCGAAAAACTTTTTTTTTTTTTCAAAATTGACGTGTTTCCATTGAGCAAATTTATTTTCGAAATTCTAATTTGCTCATTTTCATGGTCAGTGGAAACACATCTACTGAGAAGTGTTAAGAGAGCAACATGTGAGTCATGTTGTCTGTTGAAGCAGGTTCATGGGTTGACTGGGTTATTTTAGTGCTTTACAATTAGGGGACCTAAATATATGAGTTAGTGTTTTTGGGTTAGTGGAACTAATTTTTAGATTAGTGCTGCCCACCTCTGGAAATAAACAAACCAAAACTCAAACTCTAACAAGAATCAAACCAATAAAGTGTTTCAGCAGCACTGAAACATTTAACCATCTCTGTCGGTTTAATTATGTTAGTTTGTACAGTTTTTACCTGACATCCTGTATGTCGGCGCAGTGACTCAGGCTGAACACCACCTGGCTCAGCTCCGACGTGCCGACAGAGGTCAGACTGAGAAATGAGTTCAAAACAGAAGAAACTCAGAGAAATTCACACAACCGACGAGTTTTTAAAGCTTCAGGATCTTACTGAAGCTTCTTCAGCTTCTTTAGGCTCTTTATGGCCTCAGACAGACTGACGGCTCCTTTTGGTCCCATCTGGTTTTCTGAAAGACTGGACAGGAAGTTGGATTAGTTCAGGGGGGCGGAGCTAATGTCTGCTGGTTAAAGTGAAGAGAAACGTACTCCAGCTCAGTCAGGTGAGGCAGACAGGGAAGAACGAGAGCCAATCTGGCTGCAGAGACGTCACTGAGAGCGTTGCTGGACAGGCTGCAGGGAAACAGGAAGTAAGTTTCTTTTATCAAACACAAGATAATTAAATTAAATTAGTTTGTTGTTACTGCAGCTCCTCCAGGCGGCTGCAGCTCCTCAAAGCATCCAGCAGCTTCTCTCCAGACGAGTCGCTGATCAGATTCTTCGACAGTCTGAACAATAAAAACACAGAAACTGGTTAAATGTTTCAATCTGAGCATCAGGAGGTTTATCACCTGGTGCAGAACTTCCTGTTTGACAGGACAAATTCACTTTATCACGTTTTTAATATTCAGCAGGAAATAAAGATCAGATTTTTATGATGGTATATTAGTGAGAGTTTACAGATAAAAGAAAAGAATAAATCTCCAACAAAAAAACTCCAAACCTTTTAGAGTAATGTTAGGAATAAAAAAGGAAATTTCTTGTAGAAATGTTGTAAATTTGCAAGAAAAACTCAGAAATTTCCACGATTAAAGGTGAAGAGTTTTAAACTAAATATTTTCTGACATTGTCAGAAGTTTACAAAGAAAAATTTTAATTTATCTGGAAAACCAGACTGGTTAAAGGGTGACTCCAGCTGTTTTCACCTTCAGCCTCTTTAATCTGCTCCAGTTTCAAACTAAAACACAGACTTCAAACCTGGTCTAGATGATTCTGCACCGACTGCAGAAGGTTTCAAACCAAGTGGCTGATTTTTATACATCTTATGAACAAACTGAGCAGCTGAAGGAGAGAATTAATGACTGAAGCAAAAAAAAATCATGTTTACAAAAAACTAACTTCTCTTTAAATATTGAAAATATTTGCCTTCAATAATGGAAATTTTGTTTTAGCAAATTTACAATTTTTCAACGTAAGACAGTTTATTTTTTCTTGAAATTTTCTAAATGATTCTTTTATCTCCGTGCATGCGTGGGTTCTCTCCGGGTACTCCGGCTTCCTCCCACAGACCAAAAACATGACTGTTAGGTTAATTGATAACTCTAAATTGTCCCTAGGTGTGAGTGAGAGAGTGAATGGTTGTTTGTCTCGTTTGTCTCTATGTGTGGCCCTGTGATGGACTTGCGACCTGTCCAGGGTGTACCCTGCCCCTCGCACTGTGACTGCTGGATATGGGCACCAGTGACCCACGCGACCCTGAAAAGGAAGAAGCGTGTACAGAAAATGGATGGATGGATGGATGGATTCTTTTATTTCGTCTGTAAAATGTCCCTGTAGAACATCCCACTGTTAAAAAACATTCACCACTTCACAGCTGAATTAGTTTCACATGAATAAAAAGAGGAAACAAGATTTAGAGGAAAGAGTCACCTGATCCGTCTGAGCTGCTTCCAGTTTGGGAGGAGCAGAATCAGCTTTTCTGTCCCTGCATCAGCCATCCTCCATCCATCCAGCCTGAGAGCACAACATGTTATTAACATGTTATTACCATCTTATTATTGTTATGTTATTATGTTAAGTTAGTTAATATCATGTTTTCATGTTATGTTATGTTGCCATGTTATAATTATGTTATTATCATGTTATTATTATGTTATGTTGTCATGTTATAATCATGTTATTATCATGTTTTCATGTTATTTTATGTTGTCATGTTATAATTATGTTATAATCATGTTATTATCATGACATTATCATGTTATTATCATGCTATCAAATTATGTTCTTATCATATTATGTTAGCTATTACCATGTTTTCATGCAACATTATGTTATTATCATGTTATGTTATGTTGTCATGTTATTATGTTATCATGTTATTATCATATTATCATCATCTTATTATTGTTATGTTATGTTAAGTTGGTTATTATCATGTTTTCATGCTATGTTATGTTGCCAGGTTATCATCATGACATTATCATGTTATTATGTTGTCATATCATGTTATCATATTGTTATGTTTTTATCATGTTATGTTAGTTATTATTATGTTTTCATGTAATATTATGTTACTATCATGTTATGTTATATTGTCATGTTATTATCATGTTATTATGTTCTTATCATGTTATGTTACGTTGTCATGTTATTATCATGTTATTATCATGATATGTTTCATGTTATGATGTTACTACCATGTTATATTATGTTGTCATGTTATCATGTTATGTTATCATGTTTACATGTTATGTTATTATGTTACTATCATATTATGTTATGTTGCCATGTTATTATCATGTTATTATCATGTTATTATTTTTATGTTATTATCATGTTATGCTAGTTATTACCATGTTTTCATGTAATATTGTGTTACTATAATGTTATGTTGTCATGTTATTATGTTATTATTTTTATGTTATTATGTTATGTTAGTTATTACCATGTTTTCGTGTAATATTGTGTTATTATCATGTTACGTTATGTTATTATCATGTTATTATCATGTTTTCATGTGAAGTTATTATGTTACTATCATGTTATGTTATGCTGTCATGTTACGTTATTATCATGTTATATTATGTTATTATCATGTTATTATCATGTTTTCATGTGAAGTTATTATGTTACTATCATGTTATGTTATGCTGTCATGTTACGTTATTATCATGTTATATTATGTTATTATCATGTTATTATCATGTTTTCATGTGAAGTTATTATGTTACTATCATGTTATGTTATCATGTTATTATCATGTTATTATCATGTTTTCATGTGAAGTTATGTTACTATCATGTTATGTTATGCTGTCATGTTACGTTATTATCATGTTATATTATGTTATTATCATGTTATTATCATGTTTTCATGTGAAGTTATTATGTTACTATCATGTTATGTTATCATGTTATTATCATGTTATTATCATGTTTTCATGTGAAGTTATGTTACTATCATGTTATGTTATGCTGTCATGTTACGTTATTATCATGTTATTATCATGTT